AGCCAGAAGCCACGGCACAACAACTCACCTGAATACACGGCACAACAACTCACCTGAAGCCACGACACAACAACTCACCTGAAGCCACGACACAACAACTCACCTGAAGCCTGAAGCCACGGCACAACAACTCACCTGAAGCCACGACACAACAACTCAGTCAGCCACGACACAACAACTCGCCTGAAGCCACGGCACAACTCACCTGAATACACGGCACAACAACTCACCTGAATACACGGCACAACAACTCAGTCAGCCACGACACAACAACTCACCTGAAGCCACGACACAACAACTCACCTGAAGCCACGACACAACAACTCACCTGAAGCCACGGCACAACAACTCACCTGAATACACGGCACAACAACTCACCTGAAGCCACGGCACAACAACTCACCTGAAGCCACGGCACAACAACTCACCTGAATACACGACACAACAACTCACCTGAAGCCACGGCACAACAACTCACCTGAAGCCACGGCACAACAACTCACCTGAAGCCACGGCACAACAACTCACCTGAAGCCACGACACAACAACTCACCTGAAGCCACGACACAACAACTCACCTGAATACACGGCACAACAACTCACCTGAAGCCACAACACAACAACTCACCTGAAGCCACGACACAACAACTCACCTGAAGCCACGGCACAACAACTCACCTGAAGCCACGACACAACAACTCACCTGAAGCCACGACACAACAACTCACCTGAAGCCACGACACAACAACTCACCTGAATACACGGCACAACAACTCACCTGAAGCCACGGCACAACAACTCACCTGAAGCCACGACACAACAACTCAGTCAGCCACGACACAACAACTCAGTCAGCCACGGCACAACAACTCACCTGAAGCCACGGCACAACAACTCACCTGAAGCCACGACACAACAACTCACCTGAAGCCACGGCACAACAACTCAGTCAGCCACGACACAACAACTCACCTGAAGCCACGGCACAACAACTCAGTCAGCCACGGCACAACAACTCACCTGAAGCCACGACACAACAACTCACCTGAAGCCACGGCACAACAACTCAGTCAGCCACGACACAACAACTCACCTGAAGCCACGACACAACAACTCACCTGAATACACGGCACAACAACTCACCTGAAACCACTGCACAACAACTCACCTGAAGCCACGACACAACAACACACCTGAAGCCACGGCACAACAACTCACCTGAAGCCACGACACAACAACTCACCTGAAGCCACGGCACAACAACTCACCTGAAGGCACGGCACAACAACTCACCTGAAGGCACGACACAACAACTCACCTGAATACACGACACAACAACTCAGTCAGCCACGGCACAACAACTCACCTGAAGCCACGACACAACAACTCAGTCAGCCACGACACAACAACTCACCTGAAACCACGGCACAACAACTCACCTGAAGCCACGGCACAACAACTCACCTGAAGGCACGGCACAACAACTCACCTGAAGGCACGACACAACAACTCACCTGAATACACGGCACAACAACTCACCTGAAGCCACGACACAACAACTCACCTGAAGCCACGACACAACAACTCACCTGAAGCCACGACACAACAACTCACCTGAATACACGGCACAACAACTCACCTGAAGCCACGGCACAACAACTCACCTGAATACACGACACAACAACTCACCTGAATACACGACACAACAACTCACCTGAATACACGGCACAACAACTCACCTGAAGCCACGGCACAACAACTCACCTGAAGGCACGGCACAACAACTCACCTGAAGGCACGACACAACAACTCACCTGAATACACGACACAACAACTCAGTCAGCCACGGCACAACAACTCACCTGAAGCCACGACACAACAACTCACCTGAAGCCACGGCACAACAACTCACCTGAAGCCACGGCACAACAACTCACCTGAAGCCACGGCACAACAACTCACCTGAATACACGACACAACAACTCACCTGAAGCCACGGCACAACAACTCACCTGAATACACGACACAACAACTCACCTGAAGCCACGACACAACAACTCACCTGAAGCCACGGCACAACAACTCACCTGAAGGCACGGCACAACAACTCACCTGAAGGCACGACACAACAACTCACCTGAATACACGACACAACAACTCAGTCAGCCACGGCACAACAACTCACCTGAAGCCACGACACAACAACTCACCTGAAGCCACGGCACAACAACTCAGTCAGCCACGGCACAACAACTCAGTCAGCCACGACACAACAACTCAGTCAGCCACGGCACAACAACTCACCTGAAGCCACGGCACAACTCACCTGAATACACGGCACAACAACTCAGTCAGCCACGACACAACAACTCACCTGAAGCCACGACACAACAACTCACCTGAAGCCACGGCACAACAACTCACCTGAAGGCACGGCACAACAACTCACCTGAAGGCACGACACAACAACTCACCTGAATACACGACACAACAACTCACCTGAAGCCACGACACAACAACTCACCTGAAGCCACGACACAACAACTCACCTGAAGCCACGACACAACAACTCACCTGAAGCCACGACACAACAACTCACCTGAAGCCACGACACAACAACTCAGTCAGCCACGGCACAACAACTCAGTCAGCCACGGCACAACAACTCGCCTGAAGCCACGGCACAACTCACCTGAATACACGGCACAACAACTCACCTGAATACACGGCACAACAACTCAGTCAGCCACGGCACAACAACTCACCTGAAGCCACGGCACAACAACTCAGTCAGCCACGGCACAACAACTCAGTCAGCCACGGCACAACAACTCGCCTGAAGCCACGGCACAACTCACCTGAATACACGGCACAACAACTCACCTGAAGGCACGACACAACAACTCACCTGAATACACGACACAACAACTCAGTCAGCCACGGCACAACAACTCACCTGAAGCCACGACACAACAACTCACCTGAAGCCACGGCACAACAACTCAGTCAGCCACGGCACAACAACTCAGTCAGCCACGACACAACAACTCAGTCAGCCACGGCACAACAACTCACCTGAAGCCACGACACAACAACTCACCTGAATACACGACACAACAACTCACCTGAATACACGGCACAACAACTCACCTGAAGCCACGACACAACAACTCACCTGAAGCCACGGCACAACAACTCACCTGAAGCCACGACACAACAACTCACCTGAAGCCACGACACAACAACTCACCTGAAGCCACGACACAACAACTCACCTGAAGCCACGGCACAACAACTCACCTGAAGGCACGACACAACAACTCACCTGAATACACGGCACAACAACTCACATGAAGCCACGACACAACAACTCACCTGAAGCCACGGCACAACAACTCACCTGAAGCCACGACACAACAACTCACCTGAAGCCACGACACAACAACTCACCTGAAGCCACGACACAACAACTCACCTGAAGCCACGGCACAACAACTCACCTGAAGGCACGACACAACAACTCACCTGAATACACGGCACAACAACTCACCTGAAGCCACGACACAACAACTCACCTGAAGCCACGGCACAACAACTCACCTGAATACACGGCACAACAACTCACCTGAAGCCACGGCACAACAACTCACCTGAAGCCACGACACAACAACTCACCTGAAGCCTGAAGCCACGGCACAACAACTCACCTGAAGCCACGACACAACAACTCACCTGAAGCCACGGCACAACAACTCACCTGAATACACGGCACAACAACTCACCTGAAGCCACGGCACAACAACTCACCTGAAGCCACGACACAACAACTCACCTGAAGCCACGGCACAACAACTCACCTGAAGCCACGGCACAACAACTCACCTGAATACACGACACAACAACTCACCTGAAGCCACGGCACAACAACTCACCTGAAGCCACGGCACAACAACTCACCTGAAGCCATGGCACAACAACTCACCTGAACTTTGAATGTACCTGTAATATGAAATGTATCCATTGCTGAGAACAAAATAACGTTTCTGGTACTGTTCAGTATAGTTGATCCATTTGTCGAATTGTCCTTCTAAAACATCGACTTGAGATGTCGCCATTTGTTATGTCTACACACTTTCAACAACAACACACAATATGGATAGCTTCAATAAAAATGTCATCTAAGTGTTCATCATCGAACTAAGCAAAATTAAAATATTTAAAAATTCTTTGGAATCCGGAAATTACATAACTGAGTTGTAGTCACGTGATGGTATTGCAGTTATCTATGATCATTGATAACATGTTTATGTTTGGGTTTTGGTTTGAATGGCCCTGGTCACGTGGGTAGCTTACTCTCAGTGAAGGTGATTTTTTTTACTATGGTCATGGTTTGTTGTGCTTTAGGGCAAGACATTTTCTATGGAAGAATGAAACATATCAGCAATCTGCTGAACCAAGGGTCAAGAAATGTAACACGACACACCAGATGTAAAAATATTTACTATACCACTGTTTTGTGTTATGTGTATGATATGTCAGGTCTATTTAAAGATACTTTACTTAATATTATTTACTTACATATAATATGCGTATATATATATATATATATATATATATATATATATATATATATATATATATATATATATATATATACATATATATATATAGGGCGTATATAATTTATTTATGCAGAACACACGAATGTAAATGATGGCCAAAAAAAATTAATAAAACACTAATACATGAAAAGTTGTTTAAATTTTTATTTACAAATCTATTCACAGTTTATATCATAAAATATGCCATTTCAATATTACTCAAACATAGAATCAAATATTTCTTACATTTGTACATGATGTTAAAATAAACATGGGGATAATTATAATATTTTTAATGACTAGTTATAATATAAGGTAATCTAAATAAAAAATTACCCATTAAAAACAAACAATACAACAGATATAAAATGGTTTGTATTAAAATAAATTTCACAATATTCCCATCCATATTTTCTCATTACAGCTGCCCATATGTATGCGTCGTCACAGAGAATCTGGGGGAAAAAGTTTAAAAGTTAATCAACAGAAAGCCCCTGAATTGTGTGTTACTTGTACAAAGCAACACCCGATGGAGGGGAGACAACTATGTAAAAGGAGTTTTGCATTTAATATTTTAAACAGTTGCCGCCCCTAGCATGTTAAGATCAGAAATTATTGTGTAATTGCACACAACGGGACGTTTTCACCATCTTCCACTTGAAAAGTAAAAATAAATGAGAGTTGAGGGGGAAATATCAGTTTAATAAAATAGTTACAATAAAATGTCTAATACACAATATACACATAACACACACACATCCACATCGCTCACACATCCACATCACCAATTTAACTCGCACACAACCACACCACACCATTCACGTTCCCCACACATTAACACCGCTTATCTAACCCACACATTATTCGACTACACATTACCCCACACTAGGACTACCCACACCGCTGACGGCAAAAGTCACACCCGACCATTCCACTTTAAATATCACCCAACTATCCTATTCACACACTCGCCAACAGCACACTAACCAAACACGGTGTGTTGACTTAACGTCTCAAGATGTGGCAGTTTGAGGAGAACTTACACGTCGCAGACAGAGACAATCTTGGCCGTTGTACACATTTTTTTTCTAAATAGTTACACGACAGTGACCTTCTTCAATCTACACTATTGGAACAACTTTTTCTCCAGCTACTGTAATCTACTGACACAATTGTTTGTAACGTGGCGTGGTCGACACAGTCCGAATTTCATCTCAATTTGATTGATTGATTGGTAATTAAAAGGTAACTACTGATACGGTGGATCTTACAATGGGACAGTGGATCTCAATTGTTGTGTGAAGAGTGACTTTATTATTGAGAATGTTCGTTGTTCGTTCTATTGGGATATAAGCCCTCTAACATCACATCTAATAAACTTCTCAACGCCAGCCTGAGCTTTACCCCCCCCCCCCCCCCCCCCCACCACAGCGACCGTAGGTCAACCCGACACAGAATGTAGCAGACGAGATTCGAACTTCGGTCCCAATGTCGGTGTAAATTACGTGCGGGGGGAGAGCTGAATCAGACAGGTCGACATGTTTGATTGTAAACACAGAGATTCTTTTTACTGCTCTGACTGTATGTTGGTGTAGGCTCCAGCTAGCTCTAGCTGCACAATTTCCTCGCTGGGATCTGTGGGCATTGTAACTCAACACAACAGCCCACACAATACGGCACGTTTCATTTTGTAACTCAACACAACAGCCCACACGATACGGCACGTTTCATTTTGTAACTCAACACAACAGCCCACACGATACGGCACGTTTCATTTTGTAACTCAACACAACAGCCCACACGATACGGCACGTTTCATTTTCGAATCAAAACAAAACAAAATAATACCAACACCTTCCAGCATGTAACATTAATTTGGTTTAGTTAACGCGACTTGTATGTAAACCTAGTGAAGTACAGTATGTGTATGTTAACTTGTTAGCCAGCAGCCATATACACGAGACAGGGGCCCAATACAGAGAGGGGCCCAATACAGACAGGGGCCCAATACAGACAGGGGCCCAATACAGACAGGGGCCCAATACAGACAGGGGCCAATACAGACAGGGGCCCAATACAGACATGGACCCAATACAGACAGGGGCCCAATACAGACAGGGGCCCAATACAGACAGGGGCCCAATACAGACAGGGGCACAATACAGACAGGGGCACAATACAGACAGGGGCACAATACAGACAGGGGCACAATACAGACAGGGGCACAATACAGACAGGGGCCCAATACAGACAGGGGCACAATACAGACAGGGGCACAATACAGACAGGGCCCCAATACAGACAGGGGTCCAATACAGAGGCCCAATACAGACAGGGGCACAATACAGACAGGGGCACAATACAGACAGGGCAGAGCCGGCGTTACGAATACGCGGGGCCTAGGGCCAACCATCCGCGCGGGGCCTTTCCATATATATATATATATATATATATATATATATATATATATATATATATATATATATATATATATATATATATAAAGGCCTATATAATGTGATGTACACATAATAACACAAACGTTTTGGAGTTTATAAGCTAATGTCAAACTTTCCACTATAATAACAGATTTTTATCTCTCCCATGTATTAACCCAATGTTCGTAGTTTTTTTTTTCCTTTGCTAAGATATTAAATCACTATTAACAGTTATGTAATTCATACCAAATCACTTAAGAAAATTTAATCACGTGCCGAATAATTAGGAAAATAAAGTTTACAATACAGCGAACTCGGCCTGATGTATCAAAACAGTATAAACTTCAAAATTTGTTTAGAATTCATACAATATTTTAAAACCAAAATCATTATTGTCTTAATTATTGAACGGGTGAATCCTTAAGGTGACACAACATAACAACAGTTTTAACTTTCTTCCAAAAAATAATAATAAATCACTCTGTTTAATGCCGCCTGATATAGATCCTAAGCCCCCCCCCCCACCCCTCTGCACGCAAGTGAATGTTAATTTTGCTATACCAAGACAAGTAGGCCTACATATAGAGTTTCTTCCAGGCATCTCTTCGAAATGAAATTTATATAATTTATAGAGAAAATATATACTTTTAACAGTGTCCGACCCCCCCCCCCCCCCCGAAGAAAGTCTACCGCCCCCCCCCCGAAAATTTCAAGTGCCCCTTCCCCCCCCCCCCCCCGGAGAAAAAAGTCTGGAAGAAACACTGTACATATACGACATCTACAACAAGAAAGTCAGGACTAGAGTTCATCAGGTCACTGACTGTCTACTACAGACATCCCGTCTGCTCACTAAAAGGACGTCTTCATGGGTCAGCATACAATAGGGTATCTCTTTACGTCGTGGGCTAATTCTCGACCGCCATCTCCAGTTAGCTCAGGTCAAATGCCAGGCGACCGTACCCTACACAAATGGAGGTGTGACACAGTTTTTGTATCGAATTACGGCCTGTCCCAGTTCAGGTGGGACTCACCAACATCGACCGTGGCCTCAGTTATAACAATAAACAACGTCGGCATTCGACCATTTAGTTTTTCCCAATTGAATTCAGCAACAATTTTTTTAAGTTTACAAACTAACTCAGGTAACAATGACAGTGCTGAAGCGCGGGGCCCCTTCAAGCGCGGGGCCTATGGCGACCGCCCCGTTCGCCACCCCCTAACGCCGCCTCTGAGACAGGGGCACAATACAGACAGGGGCCCAATACAGACAGGGGCCCAATACAGACAGGGGCACAATACAGACAGGGGCCCAATACAGACAGGGGCACAATACAGACAGGGGCACAATACAGACAGGGGCACAATACAGACAGGGGCACAATACAGACAGGGTCCCAATACAGATAGGGGCCCAATACAGATAGGGGCCCAATACAGACAGGGGCCCAATACAGACAGGGGCCCAATACAGGAAACAGGCCCAATACGCAATTCACCCATCCTCCAATCCAAGTTGGAAGATGCCCCCTCCTTCCCCCCCCCCCCATAAGATCTGATTTAGATTGCCCGGCCCTGCTTTGCCTGTCATCAGACGCCCCACCCACACCTGGGGCAGGTAAAGGTAGGCCTACATCACCACCGTACCGCGCCACGTCAGCAACTTCTTGCTTTGTTCCTACCACTGAAACCGTTCCTAAACCTTACAGGCAACACCCACGCTGTTGTTTACCTCAAATATCACCCGCTTTACCTGCTAAATAAACCGAGAGTGGTCTCCCCTAAACTTTCTTGAATATTCTTTGGTGAAAGAAATGGGATGGCACATCCAGTGCAGTCGGAAAATAGAAATGTTTGATTATTTTTTAATACTTAATTTTTTTATTAGAACAGAATTGCGCAGAAAATGAAAACAAACAGTGTGTCGATATTAAAGCACAAAATTACTGTTTTATAAAGGAAACATTGGATACCCTTTTTAAAAAAAATCAAAATTAACCTTAAATACAACTTCCGGTCACCGGAAAGCATTCAAAATTTTACCAGCTACCAGTGAATAAGTACGAAATTTCGTCCAGCTAACTGAAATGTTGCTCTAGTTGTCGGTATTATAAAATAAAAAATAGAGTAAAATACTCTTCCGGATGTCGGAGGTCACTGAAAAATTTAAAATATAAGATCTTATACCTATTTTAAAAAAAGTACTTGCTCCAAAAGAAATAAAGTACCACTTCCGACTACCGGAAATCGTGCACACACAATTTAGTACTTGTATGTGCAATCTCGTCTAGCTCAAGTTATCGGCTTTTGAGAAACCGAAATTAGAGTACGTACCAATTCCAGCTACCGGAAATCGCTATAGATTTCGTCACCATAACTAAAACGGTATTCAAGTAATCGTGTTTACAGACGCACACACACAAACAGGCAAACACACATACAAAGGGACAGGCTTGCAAGTTTTTCCATCTCTTGTTGGGTGTAATACGTCAGATCTCGATTTAGATTTTAGCACGATTACAATACATCCTTTATATTCCGTATGCGATGAGGTAGGGAGGTGTAAAACGGCAAAAACTCAAAATTTTATTGAATTTTTTTCTGCATGATTATAATACTTTCTCTATACTCGGAATACGGGAAAGTAAAAAAAAAAGCTAAAAATTTATTTTACTTGTCTGAAATGTAAATTGTCCATTAAATGAGCGCTGGGTATCTTGTTAGAGACGAAGTATCGTATGAGGGGAGTAAGTATCGCGTGAGAGAGGTGAGTATCGTGTGAGATAGCTGAGTATCGTGTGAGAGGTGTGAGTATCGTGTGAGATAACTGAGTATCGTGTGAGAGAGGTGAGTATCGTGTGAGATAGCTGAGTATCGTGTGAGAGGTGTGAGTATCGTGTGAGATAACTGAGTATCGTGTGAGAGTGGTGAGTATCGTGTTATATAGCAGAGTATCGTGTGAGAGCCTAAGTATCGTGTGAATGAGTATCGTGTGAGGGATGTGAGTATCGTGTGAGAGGGGTGAGTATCGTGTGAGAGGGGTGAGTATCGTGTGAGATTGGTGAGTATCGTGTGAGAGCCTAAGTATCGTGTGAGGGATGTGAGTATCGTGTGAGAGGGGTGAGTATCGTGTGAGAGGGGTGAGTATCGTGTGAGAGGGGTGAGTATCGTGTGAGAGGTGTGGGTATCGTGTGAGAGGGGTGAGTATCGTGTTAGAGGGGTGAGTATCGTGTGATTGAGTATCGTGTGAGAGAGGTGAGTATCGTCTGAGAGGGGTGAGTATCGTGTTAAAGGGGTGAGAGAGGTGAGAATCGTGTGAGAGCCTAAGTATCGCGTGAATGTCACAAGAGAAAGTTTAAAGGCAACATTTCTCACATCTACAGTCTTTGGTTTGCTTTGATCTACTACGACCTGTAACAAGACACACATGAAGGGGTGCAGGGGGCGGGAGGTTTGTTGTGGGGTTGTTGGGACCACGGAGAGAGTGGTAAGTTTTGTTACACAACAAAACCACATGTCCAGATCTTATTTCAATTGAACGAAGAGCAAAAACATTCTCAAATGGGAATTATTGTAATCAGAAGCAGCTCTATATAAATGTTTTTTTTTTAATCAATGACTAGACTGTGTCCGTCTAGCCTATAAGTTGTGGCGTTAAGATACAAGATGGTGATTAAAATTGTAGAGCCTGGGTCAGGTCGTGACGACCGTTGTGACCCTCTAGGTACCAGGCCAGGTAGGCTACTGTATTAGACACTTGAGATGGCCACACTGTGTACACCCCTCCCCATCCAAGTCCCACACTGCTCCCCCACACCCTCACACCGATGTGAGGGTTAAGTCAGCCTTGAACACACGAGGTCCGTGTACAGCTGATATTTTGATTCAACATTCGCTATCTGCACTTACACGTCGACAAATGGCCGAAAGAAAATTGCCTGCAAGTCTTTAGGGCATTTGTAGTATTTGGGCAAGTGTCTTTTGGGAAAACGTCCGGCTCTCCACTAAGGTGTAGAGAACTTTTCCTCACCTGACCTTGCCTGCTGACCTTGACCCTCGTGACGTCACCATCCCTGTCGGCTGCTAGACTGTCGTCTCCGGGAACAGACAGCACTTCTCGTAATTCTTGCACAGCCCGAAGTCGTAGATTTTACCTTGACCTTTCTCGCACACTTGCACGTCCTTGACACACTTTGTGACGCCATTGTAGCCCTCGCACGCTGAAACAGATCGAACGTGAGAGGTCATCAGGTCATCGATTTGATTAGGTCATCGATTTGATTAGGTCATCGATTTGATTAGGTCATCGATTTGATTAGGTCAGCGATTTGATTAGGTCATCGATTTGATTAGGTCATCGATTTGATTAGGTCATCGATTTGATTAGGTCAGCGATTTGATTAGGTCATCGATTTGATTAGGTCAGCGATTTGATTAGGTCATCGATTTGATTAGGTCATCGATTTGATTAGGTCATCGATTTGATTAGGTCAGCGATTTGATTAGGTCATCGATTTGATTAGGTCATCGATTTGATTAGGTCATCGATTAGTTTAGGTCATCGATTTGATTAGGTCATCGATTAGTTTAGGTCATCGATTTGATTAGGTCATCGATTTGATAAGGTCATCTATTTGATTAGGTCATCGACTTGATTAGGTCATCGATTTGATCAGGTCAACGATCTGATTAGGTCATCGATTTAATTATGTCATCGATTTGATTTCGTCATCGATTTGATCAGTCATCGATTTGATCAGGTCATCGATTTGATCAGGTCATCGATTTGATCAGGTCATCGATTTGATCAGGTCATCGATTTGATCAGGTCATCGATTTGATCAGGTCATCGATTTGATCAGGTCATCGATTTGATCAGGTTATCGATTTGATCAGGTCATCGATTCGATCAGGTCATCGATTTGATTAGGTCATCGATTAGTTTAGGTCATCGATTTGATTAGGTCATCGATTTGTTTAGGTCATCGATTTGATTAGGTCATCGATTTGATTAGGTCATCGATTAGTTTAGGTCATCGATTTGATTAGGTCATCGATTAGTTTAGGTCATCGATTTGATTAGCTCATCGATTTGATTAGGTCATCTATTTGATTAGGTCATCGACTTGATTAGGTCATCGATTTGATCAGGTCAACGATCTGATTAGGTCATCGATTTAATTATGTCATCGATTTGATTTCGTCATCGATTTGATCAGGTCAACGATCTGATTAGGTAATCGATCTGATTAGGTCATCGATTTGATTTCGTCATCGATTTGATCAGGTCAACGATCTGATCAGGTCTTCGATTTGATTAGGTCATAGATTTGATTTCGTCATCGATTTGATCAGGTCAACGATCTGATTAGGTAATTGATTTGAATAGGTCATCGATTTGATTTCGTCATCGATTTGATCAGGTCAACGATCTGATCAGGTCTTCGATTTGAATAAGTCATAGATTTGATTTCGTCATCGATTTGATCAGGTCAACTATTTGATTAGGTCATCGATTTGATTAGGTCATCGATTTGATTTCGTCATCGAATTTATCAGGTCAACGATTTGATTTGGCCATAGATTTGATTAGGTCATCGATTTGATTAGGTCATCGATCTGATTCAACATGAAATCTGATCGGAGTTGGTGGTGGCTTGAGGGGGGGGGTGGTTACGTGCCTTAATACCTGATGGTGTTACTGTGGCGAGGGGGGGGGGGCTGCTCGTGGAACTCTTGAATTAACACACGGAATTATTTTTTGTATGTATGGTTGGACCTCTCTCTTGACGCATGAACTTTGCTACATCAATGGCCCAGGCCAACAAAATGTGTAGGATTCAATGGCCCAGGCCACCAAAATGTGTGGGATTCAGTGGCCCAGGCCAACAAAATGTGTATGATTCAATGGCCCAGGCCAACAAAATGTGTAGGATTCAATGGCCCAGGCCAACAAAATGTGTATGATTCAATGGCCCAGGCCACCAAGTACGTCCTCTAACAAAGCCATCACCAACTTGCCAGATTGTCTCTAGTCCAGCTATGCCAGATTTATGTTGCCGCCATCTTGTCACTTGGCTGTTTATGACGTCGTAAATCTAACAATAACTTTTAGTTTTGAATTTTAAAAGAGACGGCCAAAATTTTCACCACGCAGCAGATTTTCTACTACACCAAATAGACTTCAGCTAGGTCTACACCTCACTACACCAATAGACTTCAGCTAGATCTACACCTCACTACACCAATAGACTTCAGCTAGATCTACACCTCACTACACCAATAGACTTCAGCTAGATCTACACCTCACTACACCAATAGACTTGTGGTAGATCTACACCTCACTACACCAAATAGACTTCTGCTAGATCTACACCTCACTACACCAAATAGACTTCTGCTAGATCTACACCTCACTACACCAAATAGACTTCTGCTAGATCTACACCTCACTACACCAAATAGACTTGTGGTAGATCTACACCTCACTACACCAATAGACTTGTGCTAGATCTACACCTCACTACACCAATAGACGTGGTAGATTTACACCTCACTACACCAATAGACTTCTGCTAGATCTACACCTCACTACCAAATAGACTTCTGCTAGATCTACACCTCACCACCAAATAGACTTCTGCTAGATCTACACCTCACCAATAGACTTGTGCTAGATCTACACCTCACTACCAAATAGATCACAACAGACTGTTATTGTGTTAGAGCCTCTAGATTGGCCAACATCCGTGATGTCTGATTTTATAATTTGACCAAAAGCCTGACATTGTTTTTACTCGGCAGCTGGAGTCAGGGGCGGAACTACAGTGCCGCCAGACCCCACAATGCGGGGGGGGGGGGGGGGGGCATGCCGATTGGGGGCCCAAAAACCCTGGCTAAATTATACATTTTTTTTTAATTTAAATAAAAAAAAATTAGGTGGATGTCGAGTTATCTTTCTTCTACAGTTACAAACAAACACGATAGTCGGCAAACGTCTTTGAGAAAAATGCACAGACTATAGCTCGAGAGACCGCCAGACATATAGACAACTTCAAAGACGCAGCCTACCGTTCTTTTTAGTGGCGTCGATTAGGAGAACAAAAAAGCTTTGAAAATCGAGCTGGGGAAATGTTGCGGCGACTATCCTGGTCTTATAGATGACCGGAAAAAGTCGGCGCTATTGATGTAGATGTTCATCGGCGCTTTCTTGTCCCCTTCCCTTGAACCTTCCCAACTCTCTACCCTCCCCCCCCCATCCCTCTAACCTCTACCCCTCACCACACCCTTACTTTTACAATAAGATGTAATGCATAGATTAACGAACCGTTTATGAACTACTGAACTGTAAACTGACCACTTCTGCACATTTTGTTAAAGACACTAGTCGGTAGTTGTTCATTTACCTTATGAAGTATTTCGTTGACGAATCTAATTCACACAACAAGGAAGGTAAGACTCGTCTTTATATTATTAATCGTTTTACAATTAGTACACATATTAATGGAACATTAGTTATTAACACTATATACATTAAAGTTAAATTTTTTTAGGATACAATGATCTAGCTTTTAAGCCTAAAAATAACCAAAAGATCTATACAGGGGCGGAACTACAGTGCCGCCAGACCCCGCAATGCGGGTGGTGGGCGGGTGGGGGGCGGGTGGGGGGGGGGCAGGCCGTTTAGGGGCCCACTGCTGACCATAATTAGTATTTTTTTAAAATTTTGAATATAATTTTCGTGCATTTTGGCCTTGATATTTAGTTTGTAAAAAATAAACGCTGTAGCTGCGGTACGATTATCTTTATTTTACAGTCACTATACCACGCTCTTCAGCAAAAAAATAAAATCCATTACACAAAATACAGTGTAAAATATAGGCAACGCTTCAAATTTGAATGACACATTTGACTCGTTGCCCCCCTTTGATAGCTAAATAGAGGACACGTAACTGTTTGACCGATCCTCCAAAGTGTACTGTGGCGGATGGGGCAGGGGATGGGGATCAAATTTCTTTTTATTTATAGTTGTATTTTTTAAGGCCGTCAAGGCCGAGTTCTATTTCCCCACAATCAAACACACGCTGTCGCCGGCAAAATTCTTTTTAAAAAAACAACAAAGACCATAGCACGAGAAGCCGCTACATATGAAGTGGCTTTCATGATGCGCGGTTCTACTTTGCGGCATAAGTTAGGGACCCGCCGAAATCCATTGTACATTTTTCAATGTTAATATGTGTTTGTGATAGTGGTTGAATTTGTATTCTGTACTATCTTGAATCCTACAAATAATAAAAAAGAATATAATACTAGAAACTTCGTTTTTATATACGTTTACTTGTTTTTTACTTTTACAAGAAATATCATAGTAAACTTTTAAGGCCTATACTTGGAATTATCTCCCCTGAGTAAGTTTTTTAATGGGCGGTGGTACATAGGCGCTTTGTTGTCTCTTTCAAGATTTTTCCCGAGCCGACCCCCATCCCAGCCCTCTTTTTTAGCCTCGCAAGTATCGAGTAGACCAATGTATCGTTTATGAACTACTTCCTAACCGTACGATTCACCACTTTAGCACATTTTGTCTGACATTAGACAGCACTAGTCAACATATATTGATTTATTTGCATAGTATTAGTATCAGTACTATTAGGCACATCTAATTCACAAAACAAGGAAGGTAAGATTATTTTTGATATAATTATTTAGAAATTAATTAGAACGTTTAAAATTAATTGAACATTATTATATAATTAATAGTCAATTACTATTTATAAATGACGTTATTGAGGTGGGGGTGTGTGAGGGTCTGGCTTTTTGTTAGTCGTTAAAAAAATGTGACGTCATTTGTGGATTTCCCCCCCCCCCCCTAAATCAGAAGGTTATCCGACGCGTGAGCTGGCCACATACAGTTGTGCATGTGAAAAACATTTTTCTGTCTATTTTGCATTACTCCATATTTGAGGACAGCCCAGGGGAGGAACTACAGTGCCGCCAGACCCCGCAATGCCTGGGAGGGGGGGGGAACAAGCCGTTTAGGGGGCGCACAGCCGCCCATAAAAAAACTTTTATAGTTAAAATTATTTTTCTTGCATTTTTGACCTGATGGATGTTTTGAAAAAGAATACTGTAGCTGTGGTTGGAGTATCTTTATTCTATAGACACCATCCCACGCACTTGTTTATTCTTTTTCCTACAAACACACGCTGTTGTCGGCAAAATTCTTTTGAAAAAAAATCAATTGCGCGAGAGACCGCTAGATATTAAGACGGCATTTTGAGACCATCCCAAATTTGGTACTGATGGATAAAATCACATTGGTGCTTTGTTGTCCCTTTTAAGTTCCTTTCTCAGACCTCCCCTCCAGCTCTTAGCCTTACAAGAAGCGAATAGATAGCGCCTCAACAACTAAGCTGGCTCGAATCGGTGGTAGTTTTGATAAACTAGCGCTCCAACAACTAATATCCAAGAAATAAAGTGCCTACATTGTTTACGTTTAATAACCACTGTTCTAGAGAACAAGGCAGACGTCTCAAATGAATACACGAATGATAACGTGTTATATATATATATATATATATATATATATATATATATATATATATATATATATATATATATATATATATATAAATTAGTTTCGTTACTGGCAACTTGATAGTGGTTTTGTAAGTAACAAACAGAATACAGATCTAATACAGTAGTTATGTTATATAGTAGCTAAGACATGCTGTTGCGTAAATTTTTTTTTTTTTAAAATGAACACAGCTGTAGTGTGAAAGATAGGAAAACGTTCAAACAACTTGCATAAATTATTTCCCTTTTTCAAATAGTCAAATAAGGGTGCTCAAAAACTCTTTTTAATAATCAAATTAAAAAGCAATTACTTATCTTAATTATTATTTTTTAAAAAAAGTACTAAAGAATGATATAGTATAAAAATGAAACGTAGTTAAAGTTAATAATATAAATACAAAAAAAAACATAAAAATAAACATAACACGAGATACCATTACTTATACAAAGCTTCATACACTTTTGACCGACTTAATGATTAGAAGTATTTTATGTACATGAAAACAGAGATTTTTTCAAAACAGACCAATGCACTCATACACATGACATGCTATTGTGATTAGATTTAATTGAATTTTTTTTTTCAAAACTCGATCAGGCCAGAAAGGAGTATCCTATATTCGTATTGTGTTTGAGTGTGTGTGTATATATATATATATATATATATATATATATATATATATATATATATATATATATATATATATATATATATATATATATATATATATATATATATATATATATATATATACATATATAGGGGGGGCCCAAAATTTTTTTTTGCGGGGTGGCCCATTTTTTCTAGTTCCGCCACTGGCTGGAGTGCTCTCAGAATAAATTGTTATCTACCACTGGTGTGTGTCGGGGTGGGGGGGGGGGGGGGGTGGGGGGTACAATACATTGAGAACAGGAAAGGGGGAGGGGTGAGGAGTTATAGCTAGAGGCTACACAATTACAGAAGTAGGGACAGTCGCCGACACACTTATAGAAGTAGGGACAGTCGCCGACACACTTACAGACAGTGGCCGACACACAGAGCCGGCGTTAGGGGGTGGCAAACGGGGCGGTCGCCCCAGGCCCCGCGCTTGAAGGGGCCCCGCGCTTCAGCAACGCCATTGTTGCCTGAATTAGTTTGTAAACTTAAATAATCTTTGCTGAATTAAATAAAAATAAAACCCAACTAAATGGCCGAAATTGTTGGATGTTAAAACTGAGGCCACGGCTGATGTTAGTGAGTTATCCTCCACATGGACTGGGACAGACCGTTATTCTAAAGAAAGACATTAGTGTCACACATCGCTGGCACGGTCGACTTGCTATTGTCCTGAGGTGACTGGAGATGGCGGTCGCGAATTAGCCCCCGACCTGACAAGGGAGGTAAATACGGGAAAAACGTAAAAAGATATCCTATTGTTTGCGGACCGTTGAAGACGTTTTTTTTTTTAGTGAGCAGGCGGGGGTGCCTGTAGTAAACAGTGACCTGATGATGGCTTGCAGAGGAGGAGGAGGGGGGGGGGGGGGAGAGCGGATGGGGACATGCCCCGGAAATCCAGAGTATTTATCCCTAAAATCATAATTTTTACACCGTATGGGCATCTTTTGTGTAATTATGCATATTCACCAAGATACGTTTGATATGCATCCATACAGTAATTATGTTCATATTTATTTTATATATTGTCAGGTCATCTTTAAATACATTATACTTGTATTTATTTATATATTTTTGAAGGGCATTTATACAGTAATTATGTCCATTTTCATTTTGGTAAACTTTAACGGTATTCGTAAAGTGATTAAGCACATGTTTATTTTAATTAATTGTAGGGACAGTGGCGTAGCGAGGTCGGGTGTCACCCGGTGCGGCACTTAATGGTGTCACCCCCCCCCCCCCCCCCCCCCCCCCCCCCCCCCCCCCCCCCCCCCGAGGCGTAGAGATCCTTCCCGGAAAAAAAACTTTCAAATTTTCGATTTGCATCCCCCCTCAAGTTTTTCTCTATATATTTTGCTATTTTTTTGCCTTGGTGTCACCCCCCTAAAATGGTGTCACCTGGTGCGATCCGCACCCCCCCTCGCTACGCCTCTGTGTAGGGATATTCAGTATAGTTTAGGCCATAGTGATTCTTGTTTTAAAATAGTATAGACACACTAAACAAATTATAAAGTCTATACTGTTTGATACATCGTGCCGAGACTGTTTTATGGTAAAGTCCCCTGATTTGTAAAACGTCTAAATTACCGGCAGCCCGAGCATGCCATCGCGAAACTCATTAATAACATGAAGCTGGCTGTCACATGGTTCACTTTCTAATTATAGACACGGACCTTCTCTTGTGAGAACACGGTCTTAATCTGTAATGTAATACGCGGACGCTCTATAAACACGCACCTTCTCTTGAATGGCTGCGGTTAGAGATCCAGTAACGTAGTACCCGAACTGATTTTTTTAGGGTTTGGCATCCCATAGATTTAAATGTACAGTTATCCTTCACGGGCTTCACCTCACCCCACCAACTGTCACCCCCCCCCAAGTGTTCCACCTTACTGAGCGTCCGTGATTACATTTGAGAATCATTTCATTTGGATATCTGTAGCCGTAAACAGTGTTTTTCACGATTCGACCTTATTCCGAAATCTATCAATGTTTTACTATTTTCCCCGGCATCCACACACTTTGAATGCCCCTGTTAGCACTCGATAAATTGAGAAAATATCACTAATATTACATGCCGCTGTGGACCGATTTAACGTTGCTTCAAAGTGCCCGAAGGTATTAAGTCAGCCAAACAGTGCCTTCAGTACATTTGGAGTATTCGGGATTCCTTTCCCAATACGGCGATCGCCTACAGAATCTTGCTAACAGTTCCAGTCACAGTTGCAAGAGCCGAAAGAAGTTTCTCCAAACTGAAGTTGATCAAGAACTATTTGAGATCAACGATGTCCCAAGACAGGCTCTGCGGCCTGTCGATTCTGTCAATAGAAAAAGACATAGCCTCCAGTTTGGACTATGATGATATAATCATGGAATTTTCCTCACGAAAGGCAAGAAAAGTAGATCTTTGTTTGTGAACGTACTGGTAAGATTTTCATAAATAAACATTAATGTAAAAAAAATCAGGTTTGAAGCTGACGTTCATCGTCTCTTTAATGCGTGTCTCGAACTAATATCTGTTTTATTTTTTTATTTTTCAAACAAAAAGCCTTAACAGAAGCAAGCAACGTTTCAAAAGCACTTCTAAGTAAACAAATTATTTGTTAATCAGTGTCTTAATGTTAATACGACATTGATAAGCAGCTTAAAAATACCAAATATATCGTTATAAATATTAATTCGCGTTGAGAAGAAAAAAAAAACGCCTCACTGTACATGTTTTAGACACCAATGAAAAATATATAAGGCCCCGCGCGGATGGTTGGCCATAGGCCCCGCGTACCCCTAACGCCGGCTCTGCCGACACACTTACAGAAGTAGGGACAGTCGCCGACACACAGAAGTAGGGACAGTCGCCGACACACTTACAGAAGTAGGGACAGTCGCCGACACACAGACAGTCGCCGACACACTTACAAAAGTAGGGACAGTCGCTGACACACTTACAGAAGTAGGGACAGTCGCTGACACACTTACAGAAGTAGGGACAGTCACCGACACACAGACAGTCGCCGACACATTTACAGAAGTAGGGACAGTCGCCGACACACTTACAGAAGTAGGGACAGTCGCCGACACACTTACAGAAGTAGGGACAATCGCCGACACACTTACAGAAGTAGGGACAGTCGCCGACACACTTACAGAAGTAGGGACAGTCACCGACACACTTACAGAAGTAGGGACAGTCGCCGACACACTTACAGAAATAGGGACAGTCGCCGACACACTTACAGAAGTAGGGACAGTCGCCGACACTTACAGAAGTAGGGACAGTCGCCGACACACTTACAGAAGTAGGGACAGTCGCCGACACTTACAGAAGTAGGGACAGTCGCCGACACACTTACAGAAGTAGGGACAGTCGCCGACACACTTACAGAAGTAGGAACAATCACCGACACACTTACAGAAGTAGGGACAATCACCGACACACTTACAGAAGTAGGGACAGTCACCGACACACTTACAGAAGTAGGGACAATCACCGACACACTTACAGAAGTAGGGACAATCACCGACACACTTACAGAAGTAGGGACAATCACCGACACACTTACAGAAGTAGGGACAGTCACCGACACACTTACAGAAGTAGGGACAATCGCCGACACACTTACAAAAGTAGGGACAATCGCCGACACACTTACAAAAGTAGGGACAGTCGCCGACACACTTACAGAAGTAGGGACAGTCGCCGACGTAGTGCTGACGTAGCCGGGCCAGCAGGATGAAGCACCGGAAGGGCTGGGGTGAGTCGCTGCTGTAGACCACACATCCTGAGTGGAGGAACTGGCACTTGATGCGCTCACACACACGGTTCTTCTGGCGCTCCACGTGGTTCCCGTAGAACAGCGCCACCTTGTGGGAGCGGCGCAGTCGCTCGGCCGTCTCTAGGGGCCTGGGGAGCCAGACAAGGGTTCATGTTACAGGGGTCCCACAGGGGTTAAAGTTACAGGGGTCTAACAGGGGTTAAAGTTACAGGGGTCTTACAGGGGTTAAAGTTACAGGGGTCTTACAGGGGTTAAAGTTACAGGGGTCTAACAGGGGTTAAAGTTACAGGGGTCTAACAGGGGTTAAAGTTACAGGGGTCTTACAGGGGTTAAAGTTACAGGGGTCTAACAGGGGTTAAAGTTAAAGGGGTCTCATAGGGGTTAAAGTTACAGGGGTCTAACAGGGGTTAAAGTTACAAGGGTCTTACAGGGGTTAAAGTTACAGGGGTCTAACAGGGGTTAAAGTTAAAGGGGTCTAACAGGGGTTAAAGTTAAAGGGGTCTCATAGGGGTTAAAGTTACAGGGGTCTCATAGGGGTTAAAGTTACAGGGGTCTCATAGGGGTTCAAGTTACAGGGGTCTAACAGGGGTTAAAGTTACAGGGGTCTAACAGGGGTTAAAGTTACAGGGGTCTTAGAGGGGTTAAAGTTACAGGGGTCTCATAGGGGTTAAAGTCACATAGGGGTCTCATAGGGGTTAAAGTTACAGGGGTCTCATAGGGGTTAAAGTTACAGGGGTCTCATAGTCATGATTACTTTAAAAATCTTATAGATGCCTGATGATAGCATGAAGCCATGTTTGAGTGTAGCATGCAGTTCACCCCGGCCTTCAACCTGTCCAGCATCCCACGCTCCTGGTCTCACAAGGTTTAACATTAAACGGTCACTCAAGGGTTAAACTGACAGCTCAGATCGGTGCACCCGTGTTAAAGAGTGCCGGCTATACAAGGGCACGCCTCTTTCCTCTATCTCGATGACGTCTTGACACGCTCAGTGGCGCGTGTCCACTTAACCTTATGCTAATGAGATGCTAATGATATGCTAATTACTAAACAGATCTTTGGAGATAGTTGGGGACCACGTCGTGGGTGAAAAAGTTCACCTCACTACACCTCTCATCTCACTACACCTCTCCTCTCACCACACCTCCCCCTCTCTAGACCCCCACAACAGCCACAGGGGCAGGACCTAAGATTTTGATTTTTGGCGGACCATTTCATGCCCTGGCTATTTTGAAACGTAAATTTATCATTCTGAATGTCAAAAATCTTTCAACCGGTTCTAAATATATGTTTAAAATGAATTAATTTAAAGAATAAATTTACATTTAATGATGCCATTATCACTGAAATAATTCTATGAAAATGGGAAAGCTAATTTCTAAAGTTGATGAGCTCTTGTCTATGTCATCAATGACAGGTCAATGGCATCAATGAGCTGGGTGTGTGAGGTGTGAGAGGTGTGAGGGAAGTGAGGGAGGGTGCGAGGGAGGGTGTGAGAGTTCTGTGGGATTGTATGGTGGGGAGGGGGGCATCATGTCATCACATCTGTATATTCGGTAGTATAACGGTACCATAACATGAGACTTACCTGGTACCATAGTCCTAACTGGAGACGTACCTGGTACCATAGGCCTAACAAGAGACGTACCTGGTACCATAGGCCTAACATGAGACTTACCTGGTACCATAGTCCTAACTGGAGACTTACCTGGTACCATAGGCCTAACAAGAGACGTACCTGGTACCATAGGCCTAACATGAGACTTACCTGGTACCATAGGCCTAACATGAAACGTACCTGGGAGATTTCTGGATCTGCTCCGCCTTCCACCTCTCCAGCGCCCCCACACTCCAGGTGGCGCTGACCGTCTGAGCACACAGCAGAAGTGTGAGGAGCACGAGCCGAATGGTAGCCCAGGTCTCACGCCTGGCTAGACCTCGGCCAGTCAACAACGTTAAAACCTCCATGAATTCTGGGGAGAAACTTGAGGTCCACGCCATGCCGCAGCAGATACACAGGTTGCCAGGTCAATTGTTTAAAACATGGCCAAATGTGGCTGATCACAGGGGCCACACAAGTTGTGTCGACAGACTGGCCACAAAAGTTGTGTCGACAGACTGCAGACAAAAGTTGTGTCGACAGACTGCAGACAAACCAAAGAAATCATACACAGACAGATTAGCTCCGGCCTACTGTCCACGAGCTGTCAGAAAAGATCATGGAGGGAATTAATCAGCAAGGGAGGTAGTCACACATCTGACGTCTGCTGGGGGTACATCCTCTTAATACACATGTTTACACCTGAAAGTAAAGTTATATATATATATATATATATATATATATATATATATATATATATATATATATATATATATATATATATATATACATATATATATGCGTGGGTGTACGATTGTGTGTGGTGTGTGCGTGGGTACGTGAGTGCGTGGGTGTGTGTGGGTGTGGTTATTAGGAAAAAATAAATTAATTACCGTAATAAGATTTAGGAAGTATATCATACAACTTAGAAATCGCTAAACGACCGCCTTGGATGACCGACTTATGTTTATAAAAAATATTTATTGCGTGCGTGTGTGAAGTTTTTTTAGAAATCGGAAAAATTCATCAAATTCTTGCGGTTTTTAATCACTCGGAAATAGAGTAAAGAACTGCTTCTGGTCCCCGGAAATCACTCCACATTTGACAGAAACAAACGAATAAGACGTTATGAATAACATTGTGTCTACCCATTGTGTCACACAGTTATCAAGTTATTAGAATTGTATCAACCAGAAATAGAGTTAAGTACTACTTCAGGACATCAGAAGTCACTTAAAAATTGATAATATTAGATCTTATACTTACATGTTAATTTCCGTCCACCTAATTGAAACAGTACTCAAGTTTATAATATTCAAAGTTCAATAGAAACCTGCACATAAAATGTTATACTCATGTATGAAACTTCGTTCATTTATCTTAAACGGTTTTTGAAAACCCGGAAGTAGAGTAAGTACCAATTCAGGAAACCGGAAATCGCTCTAAAGTTGAAAGAAAACTACAACTTTTATTTAATACTTAAATACAAAATTTCGACAAATAGACTGAAACAGTAGTCAAGCTATCGTGTTCACAAACATACAGACAGACACGAACTGAATTACTAAGTTTTTTCTCGAATCGATGACGAGTACAATGTTGAGATTGAATAAACATTTAGAGTTTTAGAACGATTACAACATGGAGATGGGCAGGCTGTTGGAAGTCACATTCACATTTGAACGTATGCGATTTGTACTGATCTAAGCCTAAACTTAGTATGTGGGCCAAAAATACGCGATTCGTCCGAAGTTATAGTTATCATTATTTCATTCAAGTTTAACTGATCATCAACATTTTAATTCTTTTTTTTTTAAACCAACATCACAACAATTTTAGTTAAAAATCTAATCTAGTACAAAAAGTTGAATAATATGACAATATTTAACGCTTGTTAAATGTCTACAAATACGGACCAGTCACACACAAAATAAATCCACGTACTTGACTTGTCCTGATGTCACCTGAAAGACTCTCCTAGAATGTCCTACCAATTGTCCTACCAAATGTCCTAGAATGTCCTAGAATGTCCTACCAAATGTCCTACCAAACGGCGAGATCAAGAGAAACTAATGAGATGAAACTCAAACAGTAAGGAGATGAAACTCGCCTAACTTACAGGCCGCGTATATTCAAACATGGCTTTAAGAAGCTCGGGAACATTTCTCTACATCCAAGCCAAGAAATGTGATTCGTTAACCTGACCATGTGATTCGTTAACCTGACCATGTGATTCGTTAACCTGACCATTTGCTGGTTCAAGTTTTATGCAAATCTCAGACTAAGACCACGGTTTAAAAAAAAAACGTCAAGCATTTGCTGGGCGAAGTAGAGATTATGTTAAAATTCTCCACATTTTGATGAGGCGACACCAAAATGTCATGTCTGGTGCGGATTAAAATCGTGGGGCGGGATTATGTCCCCTTGACAACTCATGTATACTCTTGATGCGCTAATTACTTTATTAGGGTGACAGAGGAAGAAACCACCTAAATAGTGCGTCTTATTTGAAATACTATCAAATATAAACATGTTTATAATGGTCTCTGAATTCAGGGTACACAACTCGCGCGTTTAAATAAAACTGTGCCACGGGGAAGTAACCCAATGCAAGACTCAAATATTTAAATAAATTCGCGAGCAGGCCGCATTAGGCAAATGAAAGCTCGAGGGCTGGCGGGAGATGGGTCCGGCCAACAGCAGACGTGAACAGAAGGGGAGGGGGGTCATATCAGTTTGTTCATAAATGGTGCTATAAGGTGGTTTTTTTTCCATTAGCGCCCCGGGGAGTGGGTAAGAGAATGACCGTTAGAACCATTCGGCACATGAAGGTGTTCCACTACGTGAAGGTGTTACACCACATGAAGGTGTTCCACCACGTGAAGGTGTTACACCACGTGAACGTGTTCCACCACGTGAAGGTGTTCCACCACATGAAGGTGTTCCACAACATGAAGGTGTTACACCACGTGAAGGTGTTCCATCACATGAAGGTGTTCCACCACATGAAGGTGTTCCACCACGTGAAGGTGTTCCACAACATGAAGGTGTTCCACCACGTGAAGGTGTTCCACAACATGAAGGTGTTACACCACGTGAAGGTGTTCCACCACATGAAGGTGTTCCATCACGTCGTCGATGTCTTTATTCACGGGAGGTCACAAGTCGATAAACCAACAGAGCCAGTCAACTTAACACTTAACGAAGCCTCCATGTCAAGTTTACTTGACACTTAACGAAGCCTCCATGTCAAGTATACTTGACACTTAACGAAGCTTCTATGTCAAGTATACTTGACACTTAACGAAGCCTCCATGTCAAGTATACTGGACACTTTACGAAGCCTCCATGTCAAGTATACTTGACACTTAACGAAGCTTCTATGTCAAGTATACTTGACACTTAACGAAGCCTCCATGTCAAGTTTACTTGACACTAAACGAAGCCTCCATGTCAAGTATACTTGACACTAAACGAAGCCTCCATGTCAAGTATACTTGACACTTAACGAAGCCTCCATGTCAAGTATACTTGACACTAAACGAAGCCTCCATGTCAAGTTTACTTGACACTTAACGAAGCCTCCATGTCAAGTTTACGAAGCCTCAATATGTCAACAGATAACAAGTTTATATCACCCCACGTCCAAAAACGTTTTTGGCGCCAATTTGAAAACTCGTCTGGTCCTAAGTTTAGGGGAAAATTATTCGCGATGATTGTAAATGTGTTCATCTTTCAAAGACAGCTATAAAAATATGTCATGACAATTTCCTGTCAGATTCATTACAGACCTAACACTTGAAACTGGTGACCAAAGCTGTCACTACTGTCAGACTGGTAGGCTGCTGCAGGAGAGAACTGCCGTACAACAAACGCCAGATTTTTTTCATGTTCTGTAACGGGATCCGGATAAAAGGCTGACATGGACAAAAGGCCGACAAGACAAAGGACCGACAAGACGAAAGGCCGACAAGTTTTTATAAATCAACACATTTTTATTAAAAACCAGTTACATAATGGTAAAGTTTTAGTACAAAATAGAAAAAAATAGGGCCTAGTGATAAATTGTATGCTATGCCACGTAGAAGTCTACTTGTGTTTTCACGTTCTGCAATGACATTTGCTATCATGTCCTCTATCTGTATTTATTGGTTTCTATCGGGGTTTTTTTAATGGCTGACTAAGCAATATTGCCTCCATCTCAACATCCACTATTCCTTGTTCTTGTTTTAGTTTTTTGGGCAAACAAAACACTCCAGGGTGATATTTTCCGACGATTACCTGCCACCTCCTGTGCCACCCCTCAACCGTGTTTTGGGTCCTTGGAATCCCATTGATATGATTGTCATGTACAGACCAGAACTTTGGTGGAAATTTGGTGTTAACGCCATCTATCTGTTTATAACTTGTACACTCCCGTCATCCCCAGTCGCATGGACCCCACTGTTCCCCCTATAAGGATAGCAACTAGCATTCTCTTGGCGTTCCACCTTGTTGCATGTGGGCGATGATGCCGGCGGCTTTTGACTGTTCATTGATGATTCTCTCACCACGTCGACATAGAAGGAGCTATGAAAACAGTAGTGACCGCATTTCACATTATTTAGGTGTTGACCCCAGTCGCTTGGACTCGATGGTTCGCCTTATAAGGATAGCAACTAGCACCGTCTCTTCTCTTGAACGTTTCACCTTATAAGGATAGCAACTAGCACCGTCTCTTCTCTTGAACGTTTCACCTTATAAGGATAGCAACTAGCACCGTCTCTTCTCTTGAACGTTTCACCTTATAAGGATAGCAACTAGCACCGTCTCTTCTCTTGAACGTTTCACCTTATAAGGATAGCAACTAGCACCGTCTCTTCTCTTGAACGTTTCACCTTATAAGGATAGCAACTAGCACCGTCTCTTCTCTTGAACGTTTCACCTTATAAGGATAGCAACTAGCACCGTCTCTTCTCTTGAACGTTTCACCTTATAAGGATAGCAACTAGCACCGTCTCTTCTCTTGAACGTTTCACCTTATAAGGATAGCAACTAGCACCGTCTCTTCTCTTGAACGTTTCACCTTATAAGGATAGCAACTAGCACCGTCTCTTCTCTTGAACGTTTCACCTTATAAGGATAGCAACTAGCCCCGTCTCTTCTCTTGAACGTTTCACCTTATAAGGATAGCAACTAGCCCCGTCTCTTCTCTTGAACGTTTCACCTTATAAGGATAGCAACTAGCCCCGTCTCTTCTCTTGAACGTTTCACCTTATAAGGATAGCAACTAGCCCCGTCTCTTCTCTTGAACGTTTCACCTTATAAGGATAGCAACTAGCACCGTCTCTTCTCTTGAACGTTTCACCTTATAAGGATAGCAACTAGCACCGTCTCTTCTCTTGAACGTTTCACCTTATAAGGATAGCAACTAGCACCGTCTCTTCTCTTGAACGTTTCACCTTATAAGGATAGCAACTAGCACCGTCTCTTCTCTTGAACGTTTCACCTTATAAGGATAGCAACTAGCACCGTCTCTTCTCTTGAACGTTTCACCTTATAAGGATAGCAACTAGCACCGTCTCTTCTCTTGAACGTTTCACCTTATAAGGATAGCAACTAGCACCGTCTCTTCTCTTGAACGTTTCACCTTATAAGGATAGCAACTAGCACCGTCTCTTCTCTTGAACGTTTCACCTTATAAGGATAGCAACTA